CATGTGTGTATGTGTGTGTATGTGTGTGTATGTGTATGTGCATGTGTGTATGTGTGTGTATGTGTATGTATGTATGTATGTGTATGTATGTGTATGTGTGTGTGTGTGTGAACGTGTGTGTGAATATGTGCATGTATATGCAAATGTGTATATGTATGTGCGTATGCATGTATGTGTATGTATATGTGAATATGTGTAAGTATATGCGAATGTGTGTATGTATATATGAATGTATGTATGTATGTATGTATATATATGTATGCATGTATATGTGAATGTATGCAAGTATATGTTTATGTATGTATGTGTATGTATGTATGTATATGCATAAGCATGTAAATGTGTATGTATGTGTATGTATGTATGTATATGCATAAGCATGTAAATGTGTATGTATGTATGTATGGATGGATGTGTGTGTGTGTATGATTATCACTATGTATATGTATATGTATGTTTGTATTTGTGTATGCATAAGTGTGTATATATAAATATGTATGTATGTATATAAATATGTATGTATACAAATATGCATGTATGTATGTGCATATGTATGTATGTATGTATGTATGTATGTATGTATGTATGTATGTATGTATGTATGTATGTATATATGTATGGATGGATGTATGTATGTGTGTGCATTTATATATATATGTGTATATATGTGTGTGTATGTATGAATATGTATGTATGTATGTATGATGTATGTATGTATGTATGTATGTATGTATGTATGTATGTATGTAAATGTGTATATATGATTCGAGAGAGAGAGAGAGAGAGAGAGAGAGAGAGAGAGAGAGAGAGAGAGAGAGAGAGAGAGAGAGAGAGAGAGAGAGAGAGAGAGAGAGAGAGAGAGAGAGAGAGAGAGAGAGAGAGAGAGAGAGAGAGAGAGAGAGAGAGAGGGGGGGGGGGGGGGTAGTAGATGATGTAAGCACAAATACACACATGTACAAGCATAGAAATAAATACTAAACATCACATGAATAAGCCTACCTGTTGTGACACAGGTCTTTTTTGAGTCTCCGCATTGTAACCAACATTAGAAGCTGTGTTTGCATTCCAGCCTACGCCTTCGCCTCCACCTCCACCTCCAGTTCCAGCACCAACGTTAGACCAATTGTCTGCCCATTCACCTGTGTTTGCATACTCTGTTGGCAGTGGTGGTGGAGGCATGGAAGGAGGTGCAGTTGTCACCTCCTGAAATGAGATGGGAAAAAAATTACACAGTCATAATAAGGATATCAATATTCGCATATCTAAAAACCGTCTAGCCTGAGGTCGTATCAACTGACTTATTGCAATCATGAAAATCTGAAAAGTTTCCACAGTCTAATTTTCTGGAGAATTCATGGGAATGTATGAAAGGCATAACAAAATAACAATTTAACTGGAGTAGTGCAACTGATGGATATATCTTTTACATACTGTTACACTGTGAATTTATTTTCATTCTATTATCTATCCTTCTTTTATGTTTTGGGGGATTGACTGAACTTTATCATAAAGAAAATAATTCTTGTAGTATGTACAATAAGTACTGTTATTTACTTGGTTTGCATGGGATATTTCTTTTGGCCTAACTAGGTTTAGCTGGACATGTTTCAATTACTCTCATAGCTTAATCAAAAACTTTATGCAAATTAAATGATGGTTGTTTCTGCACATCACAGCATGAGCAAAAAGGCTTAAGGGGACTGCCTGAACGAGTAAATTTTTTTGGATCAAATTGAGTTAGCTAGCGTATAGTATAGGCACATGGATGAGGAAACTACCAAACGAGTATGAAAGCCCTGCTATGGTTAGTTTCTGGACAGCGAACACAAGACCCGCTAAACACCTGGGCAGGTACGCTGCTAATGAGTGCCCAGGTACACCTATGTGGATTTTTGCTTATTGCAATTGTGCATGACATTGCCCGTAGATATGAGTTTGTGAATCTTCGAGGAACAATTTTATACCAGTATCAGATAAATACTATGTCACAGTAATTTATGATGATGAAGTTACGAAAATTAGTTTTTGAAATATACCTAAAGTTTTGAAAATAGCTGTATAAGTAAGGATTAAAATATTTCTGATAGACTTCGCTAAACGGTCAGTACAATACAGCATTGGTAAATTTGATTTGATTTGAAATTGGTCATTAGCACTGTAAAAGGCAATTCAAAACAAAGTATGCCTACAAGTCGGAAATTTGAACTTCAGAGATATAAGCGAGATACCGATTATTTCATACTGAAGATGATAGTACACTGTAATACCTACTCTGAAATAAAAATTATATGGAATTTTGAACTCGTTTGTGTGCACAGTCTTCGTCTAGTGTTGTAAAAGCTATGGCATCTGTTTCGTGCATTTCCAATAAAAATTATGTTTAGACGTTACCGTAGGTCTTAGGTACAATAAATTTGCAAATATCCAACCACATCTAAGCATCTGCATGATTTTAAGCACTTCTTAGTAAATATGATGGGTGCAAATGGCTAATCAACAACTCTACACTCATTTCCCTTTGCAATCTGTTAATAATGACAATTATCAAAAATTATAAACATCCAGTGATCCCCCCACCCCCCAGGCTAGGATAGATCTAACACAAGAATTTTTTGTGGATTGTTCAGGAAAAAAAAAATGTGGGTGTGATGATGTACTGTAGAAGAAGAAGAAAAAAAAAAAATCAATTTTTAAAAACTTTTTTGGGGGTGAGAGGTCAAAATCATAAGTGAAACCAAGCGCAATTCTATACTCTATATTATGTAAAAAGAATGAATGAGTTATCTCCAACCGATTTTTTTTTTGATGATGAAATGAGTATGGAAAGGTGGTCAATTCCCCAGGATGGTCCCCTCAAGCCACTCTCAAAAGCTAAACAAAATATCTCAACAGTCCCCACAATGCAAAGATGCATAAGAGACCAAATGACGTTGGGACTTACCTCCACATATGCTGCAGGGAAGAGTCCAGTTTGTCCCTGAGAATTGGTACCTTCCCACCATCCTTCCCCCACATCCTGCCGTAAAACTGCAAGGATTTCCCCCTCCTTGATACTGAGTTCTCCTGTGCCAGGCTGTGCATCAAAGTCGTACAAAGCCCGTGCCTGTATTGGAAAATGAATTATTAGGTACATGACAGAGCTGCACAAACATTTCCGAAGGGATTTTACAAGCTATTGTGATGATACAAGCTAAATGTCTTGTCTACTTCTTATGCATATACTTTTATGCCTATGTGTTTGTGTTACTCACACACATACACTTGTGATAATACAAGGAGCCTACATGCACCAATTTCACCAATAATTATGACCCATAAAACTAAACACACATTCACACATAAAAATGCATATAACATTATCTTTAAAAAATATCTTTTGACTTTAAAGACAATAAATAAACAATTAAGTAAATAAATCATACAGAAATTAGATAAATAAAGACAAAAGAATGACACAATGGATAAAAACAGCAAATAAAATACTAAAAACACCCATAACATTTCCTAATTCCTTCATGTGTAAGGCTAAGAGTGAGGACAAGCTAGGCCTATGGATAAGGGAACATAGGGAATCTCCTGAAAGAGGAACTAATCTCTTGGGAGAACTGAAGGGAGTTACTTGAATAAGGTTTAAACACCTCACTCACCACATATAACAAAGGCTCAGCTTAGCTGGTTCATCACAGTCAATGGTCATCTGTCAAGAGCAATTCATGGATACTAAGCTTATTTCATCAATCAAGGTTCAGTCACATGAGCATTTTCATCACCAACAAATCTTGTAATGCTGGTCACACAGTGATAAAACCATCACCCAAAGGCATAATTTCTGTGAGCAAACATGGTGAGCACTACTAGAGGACAGATAGTTCATTGCCAAACTGCACTGCCCACTATTTCACAAATATGCCACAAAAAGAGAAGAGGCAGATGTGGGTGCACTATGGGTTAGCAAGAAGTTGTAAATAAAGATGGTGGAGCATCCACAGTCAAATTAAGTTTGGTACATGGAAAATCACTCTAAAAATAATTAATATTGCTTTGTATTTAACATACAAAATTATTAAATGTTTTGCAATGGATGTGATTGGTAATATTAAAAATGTACACCCAATAAATATGTTTTTGTTACAGTACAGTTCCTCTGTTGTTTGTTTGCATACTCATATCTGAACAATGCTCATCATGCGCTAAAAAACAGTCCATGGATATGGGTATCCTTGGGCAAACAAGGAGTCCGCACCTGTTATACGGCATTTGTTGTTGATAAAACACTTGTGTGACCACCCCTTTCCATAGCTAATCACAGTTATGTACAATAATGCAATTATTATGACAGTTACAACTGAGACCTGTATGTTTTAATCCATAAAAAAATCAAACATATAATCTGAAAGACACTAATGAGGGCCTCAGAACATTTCTTTTGCAAGAAAAGACTGCTAAAAAATTCAATTCAGCTCCTTGTTTTTTACACATGATTTGCATTTACATGATCAGTTACTGAGTAAAGTAGAAAGCACTACACTTTAAAATATCAAACATATTAAACTTGGTAAAAATTCAAGTAGAAGATTTATGGGGGGGGAAAAAAAAAAAAAAAAAAAAAAAATCTGCTACAAGTGACTAACTGCAACATAGCCATATCTTCAGTCATTTTGTGATTAACACCAGAGACAGTCTTCTTATAATGGGTACTCTAGTTCACAGTTAACCATTTCCGGAAAAAAAAGATGAAGCTACTCTGACAGACAGAAAGAAAGACTGAAGAAAGATTTAGAAGCACATTAAAAAAAACAAAAAAGAGAGAGAAAAAAACACACAAGTTCAAAATCACGTAATCCCTTATATTGCCTTTGTACAGTGTATTATGAATTCTCTACAAACTGTTTTTGAAGAAATGAAAAACTATTCTCCCTTATTTACTATTTTCAATCAATTTAGTATGCACACCCATCCTGTCTCCCCGCTTTGATACAAATTGCTTATTAAGGGTTTAAATTTCTGGGCCTTACCAATCCATCTGAACAAAGTGATTACAAAATATGCCTATCCTTAGCTTCTGGCTAAGAGGTGTTCGAAAATGTCACTTTTTCTTACATTTTTCTCTGCTGTATCCAAATATATAGAAATAAAAGCTCACCATATACAGGGCATATTAGTAGATTTTTAAATTTATTTTGACCATAAAAAATTTTATTGTTAATTTTGTTTTTGTGTAGCAGTTTTTTTTCTCATGTGCATCCTAATTGGCAACTTTACTCTATACGGGTAATAGAAAGTGAGAGGAATCCATCAATAACACTAATGTGATCACTGATGCAAAGGTATTCTGAATATGCACCCCATTACTAATATCATTAGTATTACTATTACCATTATTGACTATGCTATTAGCAATAAAAAGCAAAACCTTTCTTTCCAAAAATTAAAGGAATAAGGTAAAAAGGCAAGATTAGGTAGGCTTATTAATTGACACCTTGATGCCTAAATAACAATGATGCAATTTATGTGTAGCTGAACAAAATGAATAAATTATAATCAGTATGGATAGGGCATACATAAACATACCCTCCTGGCATCGATAGGTTAAGTTTCACATTCTACTCTTAATTATTTCTAGAGCACTGCTTATTGTAACTGCCAAGGCAAATGAAAACAGTTGGAAACTTCAAAGTAAATTCACAGCTAACAAAGCATATGCATGAATTTTAAACATGGGAGTAATGTGAACGTCTTCTCTGTCGTAAGGTTCTAAAGGTTAAATATCTAAAGGAAGGGGTTTTGGTCACCTGAATGTGAAAAACTCAACTCCCATTATTCAAAAAAAGATGCAATACACACAGGCGTTCATGAAAAAAGTCAAATAGCCCTTACACATAATTTTATAGTGAATGTCAGAGGATTTCCAATGATGATAATTACTGTTACTTCTATTACTTGGGATTTTAAGTCACTCCATGTCCTGTACTGCATGACAAAGTGGGTCTATGTCATGCTCATATATTTCTAGGCAAACTATGTAAACAAAATAGAGCAGCAATCTACAGGATCCACTATAGTAGAGTAATATTATTCACCTGTACAGGGAGTTATTATGGAGTATGAGGCTCACTACTGAGAAAAGAAATTTACTTGAAATAGATCCTAAATAAAAGACTGCATCTGATAAGATTGATGTTAAAGGTTATATTCCAGTCTTTGTTTCCAATCCAATGAGCATACTTATATCATTCTTTTCCTCAGTGAGCCTCCATCACACATTAAACTGCAAATAAATTTCTGCATAATTAACCCACTCTGGCTTCTAAACAAACTCTGGATGTCAGGAGCCATTTGCATGCAAAACTTGGAGAAACTGCTAGTCCACACTTAAAAGAATGACATAGGTTAAAGGGAGAGAGAGAAAAAAAGTAATTACTTGTCTTAACAGGAAACTAATATCAGAAGCCATTATATGTATGGCCAGCTAATAGTTCATGAACATCAAGCAACACTCATTTTCTTAGATCTAATTATTCCATCTTAAGAACCTTAGTCCTGGTATCTATCATAAATAAACACAATATGCCAAACTGAAAACAGTGATAAGCCAAAGTTTCATACACATTCTTCAACCAATATTTATATATAAATCTAATTATGCTTCTATTACAGAGAAATGTCTGCTACATCTACATTACTACAAATTACATTATTGTTAAATTTGCAGTTCCATGTACTGATTATGCATCTTTTCCTTAAGTAATCAATAATATCATTTTGTGGATTTTTTTTTACATCTGCCAATGAACTGTTTCTATTTCAATAGTTACAGTTCCAGTTTTTGGTTTCATTTAACAAAGCACTGATGACAATTATAATCACACCATGAATCCATCTCCCAGTAGTAAGGATGATAATCAGCCAAGCACAGAGCAGTGCATGCTGATGTACCCTGGCCTTACCAAACTTTACACTATACATTACCCCACATAAACGGGTAAATGCTTCTATACGGCTCCCATAAGTTTTCACATCTCCTGTTTCTCCTTGCAATAAGAAACTTGTAGACTTTCCTGATGATTCACCATCAAACGTCTCTAAAATAAACATGCTTTTCCCATTTATTTACTTACTGGTTACAACTAACTGTCCACAATAGGACTCTGTAGAGACATTAAATAAATAAATATAAATATAAACAATACTGCCTCATATAAAAATTGGAGACACTCACTGGTATATAAATTATCATGCACAAGTGAGATATCAATGGTACAAGCAGGTATCCGAACATCTACCAGCAGTGACTTGAGCAATTACTATAAACCCAATGGTTTTCGGAAATCACCCAATTTCTGTTGTTTTCATTTATGTATTTTGTTTGCACATAGATGGTTCTACTAGTGCTCAGCCATCAAGGAGCCAATTTCTTAGCCTAAGTGTTCTCACCTAATTTCCCCTTTACTTGATTTTTTTTTCTTTTTTTTTTTTCTTTTTTTTTAATGCTATAAATATTGATAATGTCAAGTGTTATTGACATTATGCTTATTATAATGTTCTTAACAATAAACAATGACAAAATTTTAAAAAGAATCTTCCCAAAAATCAAGGTAAAGAATAAGCAAGTAAGACAGGTTAAATTAATAATAGACACATTTTAATTGAGCACTTATGGAGCTATCTATGTGTAAAGACAATCAATAAACAAATAACCACAGTGGACATGGCATGTGTTCTTGCCAATCTGGCAACAATGGGTTAAAAGGTCCAATAATCTCCACCACTTACATTCTAACAAAGCATAGCTTGTTGGCCCCCACAATATCTTAACCCACATGATCTGGGGGACTTGACAGTCACATAAAAAACTTTGGCTGAGGGTTGGGTCTGGGAATATACAGTTGTGGAAAAATTTGGCAGAGACCACAGATGGACAATCACAATAAAATGTGGCTAAAGACTGGTGTGATGGAAATGACATGTCATGAGTGCACAAAACTCTTGGAGGATGGACTTACTGGACAGTAAGAAGGGTTTTTTGCAAAATTGTACCATCAGTGAGCAGTGGCAGAAAGTGCTAGTTCTAGAAAGGACATTATTTTGATGCCCAGGATCCTATTCCTGCCCACTATGACCAGCAGTGCAGATATCAAATAATACAAAATGTTTAAATAATATCCAAGAAACAAAGTTACTTAATGATATTGTTATTGCACACAATTGTAGATTTCCTGGAGATAATAAGTAGTCTGCTCAGTGAGAACAACTTACTACTTTCATGATACTGCCATGACCACTGGTCCTAGGTGTGTTACTGAGAATTGAATAAAAAAACATGCTGACAATTTTTGCTGTTACCACTGCACAGAGTTATATACTATGTAGTAAGATAATATGGAGTCTGCTCAATGAAAACAATATATCATCCTGATATAGCATAACAAATGATAAACACAAAACTTGGAAAAATTGCTTTTGCATAAAAAGAGGTAACATTGCAAAATGGAGGCAGTAAGTCTTGATACCACGAGTGTTCATGAAGATTGAACCAACAAGCCACACACCCAGGAGAGTTGCCACTCGCCTAAGCCTGATGCTTGGATTTTAGTCCAGGTGCATGGCACCTAAATCAAATGAGTTAAAAGCATTTTAGACAGGGTTTTTTTTAAATGTTTCTGCGGTACATTTTTTTAAATCTTAAAAGCTTTGACATTCATATTCAGAGACTTATTATAGAGATTTTTAAAAAGCCGGAAAACTGAAGTGAATAAACACAAAGATACTGCATGCCATCACACATGCAATCTTACCAAGGTGTGCAAAATGTCGCACAGTCTATTATCATGAAGACCGCAAAGTCCATAGCCAAAGACAGAGCCCCATCAAGGAAAACAGTAATCAGATGGGTGTCCAGGGGCACAGCCTCCTGGTTAGGGAAGGGTTTTTTTTATATATTGATGGTTGTAGATTCCCAAGAATGCCTCCAAAGTTGTTGGCAGGAGTAACAAGGACTTTGACTTTGTGGGATGCAGTCACTTCATAAACAATTACCATTCTGTCCTTTCATTTCTTTATTTTCTTCTCATTTCTTTCTTTTTTGCATCAAATTTCCTTGAAATATTTTTACCATACAAAAAATCTAAACTCAATATTACCAAATTTAGTGATTTTTTTGGTCTTTGCTAAAAAACAAAGCATGGAAATTGAGATAATAACTAATCTGCATATTTTTTCTCCACTTAAAAGGAAACTAGAACACACTCCCAACACTACTAAATCATCACTTTTGCTACATTTAGTGCATTACAATTACAAGTAAAATCAGTTCAACACTATCTAGTCCTAAACTATTATACTACTGTACAGCATTGCATAAATAACCACACAATGTCAGTCCATTCAATAATACATGTAGATGCAAAACATGTTAAAACAATTGACAATGTTTATGCTGTATCTTCCCCATGGACTTCCATGATCTTGATCTACCTGGGCTACCGTGACATTAACAGTACATTCTTTTTTCCTACAATGTGCTCCTCGAAAGTGCCAGGCTTAAGCACGAGTTCTCAATTTCCTTTAGATGTCACACTCTTGCATTTGAACTGTTCTCGGTTTTCAGATGGTCTCTGATGCGGCTCACGTCACTCAAAGACGTCATTGTTAGAGCAAAGTGCATAGAGTTTCATCGAAGACGTTGAGTGTCATGCTAGAGTGACAAAAGCGGGGAAAATCACTAAGTGTTGGTGAAATGGCGGAATTTGTTGAGGAATCATTTCAAATACAAATGGAACTAATCTGCTGACATTTAAAATAAAACAAACTTTGTTCGACTTACCGTCACATCACTGACACTTGCCTTGGTGGCAGTTTCATCCCCTGGATTTAAAATTTCTAATTCATTTGTCATTATTCTGTCAATTCGGTTCGCACAATTGGTTTTCAATACATCTAGTGGTTAACACTATACTTAAAGACTATCCCCAGATGTCGCTTAGACCATTTGTTTGTACGA